ACTGTGAATCACATTCCAATGTTGTTCTTTTGCTTAAAGTATATTAAAATCCACTTCATTATATGCTATGACTCCTTTTTAAGATTTCTTACAAACTTTGATTCAATGCACATCATCACATACATCAAACTCCGCATTGCACTAATATATATAACACTAGACATATATTCCTTCTCATTACTAATTTGAGTAGAAAAATGTAAGGAATAACCATGTTGTAAATTTAGCTCATATACGTTGTAATTCATTCTTCTTAGAACTTGGAAATGTCCATTAGATTGTAGTTTGAACTTCCTTTAAGATAAAAATATTTCTTTTATGAAGTGAAGTGAAACCAACTTTCTTCTCAACTAGTAATTTAACTTTAATGTACAGTTCTTTTACGAATTTAGATTCTTCGAAACCATCAATACACTTAATAGAAGCAAAGCATAGAAAGAGATATAAGGTAAAAATACTATCATTTTGCATTAAAGTTGTTGTAGAATTTTGGCTTTACTTCATAGTAAGAAATTTAACCAACTTTATAGTCTAAATAGTTTTTTAATTTATTAAAAATTTTAATTTTTTTAAAATCCTTTTAACTAGTTGAATCACTAATAATATATAAGTCTTATGGAACAAATCTCAACATCACTAATTGATATAAATTAATGGGAGATTCAAAACACAATTTATATAAAAATACACTAGTTACTTCATTAGATTCTTACATGACATCATTACATTAATAATATCACTGCCAAGTCATCTATAATTAACATTATTACATGACAATTAAAAAATAAGTATAATAATTGATATTTTTTTTTCAGAAAACTATTAAATTCCTAACTTTTTTTATGACGAATATTAATATTATAACATATATTAAGAAATTAAAAAATGTACTTTTTATTAGGAAGTGGAAAACGCATTCTTTATTATTTCTACCCCATTTCCATAAAATTAAAAACAAAATATTGTTTTCACATTTTAATAAGAGGCTTTAGGTAGCAAAAATTGTTGTTTTTATTTTCAATAATATAATTTTCTTTTTCTCATTCTGGATCGAAGTTGCCATCTTTTGGTCTTCTCAACACTGTAACTGATACCAAACTATTCTGCCTCCATCCCACACAGTCTATGCAGAGCCTCCCAAATTCCAATAAGGCTGAGAGGTAAGATGTCACTCTCACCTCACACCCTTTCTCTCTCCGATGTGTGACTTTCAGAGCCAACATTAATGGGCTTAATTAACCATTCAAACGGCTTCAGTTTGGATCAAAGAACCTCTTTGTTACGTATTCGTCTTTCCTCCTTTGGTTGAATGTCAACTTTACACCACTTCTGTTGAATGTCGGTGCCATTGGTTTGTTGTTTGTGCACTTTGTTACTAAATTTTGACTTTGGTTTATTTGTTTTATGTTGTTTTGGTCAGAGGGTAGACAATCTGGAGGTCATACTTCTTTGTCTGAAGTGACACTTGTTTGGATAGTATCCCAGTATTTTGTTTCAGTGTGTTGCTATTCACTTCTACTCCTCCATTTCATTCAGCAAAACACTGTAATGGCTCAACAGGTACCCTTTTCCCTTCTTTCTCTCTCTCACATACACAACTCACACACGCAATACACTCATAAGTTGCATACTCATATTGATGTTATTAAGTGGGGTGCTTTGAAATGATTTCGAGGGGTTTTTTTGAGGCAGCTTTTATACCGGATTCAGTTTTTGGTTTTCAATTTCAAATTTGGAGGGTGACAGGGTTGTTGTTGTTGTTGCTGATGATGCAGGAAGAAGGGTGGCCTTTGGGTTTGAGATTCTTGAATTCTAGACTTGGGCTGGTGAGAAATGGTTCTGGGTCAGCCTCTTTCAGCACTGTGCTTACTGCTTCTCATACCCCTTCAACTGATTCTTCCTCAGATCTTGATACAGAGGTTCGAAATTTTATTTTAACTAAAATTCAAGAACATAAATTGTTGTTAGGGTACAATGTGCTTTAGATCCTCAATTTCCAGTCAAAGTTTATCTTAGTGTGGTTGTTTTTGTCCTTGAATTTCTGATAATGGATACATTTTGTTTTTCTTCGTGGAACGTGGAATAGTTGGAGGCACAAAATTGAAGGGTAAAACGTATTTTGTCATTATTATTGATTATTGATATTATCAATTATTAATGCAAGATAGTGTTGTGACGACCCTTTTGTTTCATTGATACCATTGCTACTTACTGCTACCTGTTCCTTTGTCCTAAGCTGCTATGACCTTCCTAGCATGTTGTCATGTCTTTGTTTTTTTGTTTTTGTGGTTTCATTTTGTATTTTTACTACAATGATGGCAGCATTTTAATTCTTTTGGGTATTATTTATAAAAGTGTTCGTAGTCACTGACAGAGACATCTCAAATATTTTGTATGTATATGTATATTTCTTGATGTAACTTTTTTTGGTACGAAATAATGACTGTTTCACATCCTGCAATGGTTAATCAAGTTTGATTGTGACTCTTGCTCTTCTCAGCTTCACACAGCAACGTTCCCTTTTCGGATCTTGAACCATTGCCCATTCAGCTCGTTTTAACATTGACACGCTTTACTCTTTCATGCGTGTTAGAACATTGGCTTTTGACTATGTACTTTGTGTTTATTGCACTGACGAAGATGAAGCTTTTTAATTTTTGAACTAGTCCAAGCCACAAAAATGAATAGGAAAAAGAAGCTCCACGTAATGAGCATGCCCATAAGGCTTCGGATTTCTTCCCCTGTCGGTCTCTTTTGGATCCTTCGCTTCTTTTGTGTGTAAATAATTGTTTGACGCTAATGGGGTCCATGCCATGGCCTAGCACATAATTGTTTGACAGAGAGTGACGTTGATTTCACTTTAATTGCCATTTTGTTGGTATACTGTTTGTCATTTTGAGATCAATCGGAAGCACGCTTTGTTGAAATTTGAGTCTTTTATTAGAGGGTTTGCACAAAAAAAAGTTAAAATGCATAACATCACCCTTGAACAGTGTCAGAAAGGGACAATCATAATGTAAAGCAGATCAAACACAGAAGACTGTATGAGTGACATTTTTCATAGATGCTTCTTTAGTAATGATTGAGAGAGCCTTTGGCATAATGATATCGGGTTAAGGATTCAAATCTCGGAAATAGTCTCTTAGGGAATAAAACTGTGCACATTTATCCTCCCATTCATTACTGTTTTTTGTTTTTTTCTATCATGTGAATGAATGTGAATTGAAATTTACTTGTTTATAGAAGTATTCATGATCAAGCCATTTACCTGACTCATTTGACATGGCTTGCTATAGTCCACTGGATCATTCTTCCGTGACAACAGCATTACACTTGGCAGCCTCATTGGTATTTCTAGCTTCTTAGAACTCTCAGGCAGATCAACAAGAGGAAGAATGGTGGAAGCCTCGAAGGACAGCAAAAGAATTCACAAGCTGAAACCTTGGTTGTTTTCACTTTGTTCAAGGCTAAGTACTGATGCAGTGAGTGGAAATGATACCCCCTCTCTTGGTCACTACCTTGAAGCTGAGAGAAGAGCAGCGAGTACATACAGAAGGAACCAGTGTCCTACGACTTATGGACCCAATGTTTTCTCCCCTATTCAAGATTCAACCTCACTATTAGTGGGTAGCCAAACTGATCATTGGCCATCTGCTTCATTGGGTGATGATGGTGGACATTAGCATGATCATAACAGTGAACTAGACGAGTGATGGATAAGGAACACCAATAGTTTTTTTCTTGTCTGTGTGGATATTTCAACATGTGATGATCCCTTGTTATTGATTTATATTTCATTTAGAGGTCACGGAGTTCTTTATCTGCTTCAGGAGATTCTCCTGCTTGGTAATTAAATTTCAAGACATTAGGATGTTCTGTTCGTACTCCATTCTGCCCACATATAGTCTCCAGTTCTTTATGATAGTAATACAACAATAAATACATGCTGCAGACCATAAATTTGAACTATTAAAGCCTCTTTAAGTTACTGAAGTTGCATACCATTCTGGTGTGGTAGAAGTTATTACATAGTGGTTTGGGTGTTTGTTTCTATATTGGTGGGGATCACCACTTATTTTTAGCATGTCAAGTCCTTTTTCCTTTATTGCAATGGGAGATCACATCTCAGGTCATGCGAAAGTACTTCACATGAAAAATAAAGTAAAATGAAGTTTGGTGATTAAGACTTCCTGGTTGAGTCTTCGTCCAGGCTAAAATAAAAATGTGAGCTTAATCAAAACAAGTTTTCACTTTTCCATCAGATGTTCACTATTCAAATGATGTGAAACCAATTACTATGTTTACCATTGTTAAAGCCGTAAAGAAACTTACCTTTAACTCTTGCATACTATATATTTCATATTTGGGAGAACAATACACAACCGTGTCCTCCATCTCCAAGAATCAGATTTCAGAAATCAAAACTCAAACCGATTACAAACTATTGTCTCTCATGATCTTAGTGATCTTTGGACAATTGAAACAAAATGAATACAAGAACCCAATATAGGCAGCCATTCCACAGTAATTAAAACCATCATTTATATCACTTCCTGCCGGCTTCCAATCAAAATAACGACTGACAATTATCAAGCCTCAAGAAACCTCCCACTGTTTTTCATCTGCAATTTTCCCCGAATTGCGGCCGGCAATCCTTCCAAATG